ACCGGACAGTTTAGAAGACCGAATAAAAAACTGCATACCTATAATAATAACAATAATAACGATGATAGTGTAGCATGATTGATGCTAACTGCAAACAGAATGTCACGAAGCGTCTTTGCTTTGCTAAGAGGTTCAATTAGCGTCAAACGGTCAACAGAAACTTTCCACGGTGGTTCAGAGTGAGAAAAGAGAACCCATCGGGTACCGTTGATTCAAAATTATTGTAACATTATATTTCAAACAAAGAACCGAAATTTTACCAACTTTGGAGTTTAATCTCTGTACATATTCCATTGTAGCGAGTTCATAGTTTTTTTGTCACTGAAATTGGTCTTCTAGGTCTCTTAATACCTCTTGGGCACAATGCTTCTCATCATCATCATTATTTAGCTTATTCCGTCCACTGCTGAACAAAAGCCCCTTTCAGCTTTAGCCATTTCTTTCTATTTTGTGCCACTTGAATCCAGTTTCCAGCCACTAATATCATCTGTCCATCGACTAAGAGATCGTCCTCTGCTTCTATAGGCCTCGTGTTTTGGTCTCCATTTCACAAGTCTCTTTGTCCACCGTCCATCTGTTATCCTGGCCACAAGCCCTACCCAATTATATTTAAGATGTATGACAGATATCACCGCATCTCGTTCTCCTGTTTGATTTCGTATGGTATAATTGGGTATTTTATCCCCAAAGTGTAACTCCCAACATGGACCTTTCCATTTTCCGTTGCATGACCTGTATTCTATGCATGTTCTTTTTTGTCAAAGTAAGTGTTTGAGCTCCATACGTGAGGACATGCAAGACACACTGGTTAAAGACCTTTCTTTTTAAACATATTGGAAGATCAGATCTCAGTATATGATTTAGTTTACCGAATGCCGCCCACGACAAACCTATTCTTCCAAGAATTTTGTGTGTCTGATTATCCCTTCTAATACCGATCTCATATCCTAAGTATTTATATATATGCACTGGTTCCAAAAGTATGTTATTAATGTTTAAATTACCACTCAGTACTAGGTTTGTCATGTATTGTGTCTTTGATAAGTTAATTTTCAAACCGACTTTTTCCGAAGCATCATTTAGCGTATCCAGCTTATTCTGTGCTTCTTGTATGCTCAATAAAAACATAGTATTGAAAGTTAATTATTATTTGTTTGCAAAATATAATAGTAAATAAAATAGTATGTTAGACACAGTTATAGCATAATATATATTTCTTGGTTCCAATAATTTGAAATTCAAATAGTTACCCTACTTAACTAAAAGAAATGTACCTGCCTTAAAATGTGCGGGATTTCCCTGTGTTTGTTGCACCACTGGCCTCAATAAGAGAAGAAAATTTTAACTTGCAGAAATTGTTGATTTCTGACAGTTCATATTCAAGTCCAATATAATCATCTGAAAATGGAAAGGTCTATGTTGGGAGTTAAGCTTGATTTTCATGCATCCGTTGTCCGACGATACTGTTTCGCTTGCGCAAGCATGGCTTGTCCAAGCTTGCATGATTCAATTTCAGTCAATCATCAAGCGGCTTGCACAATTAAAATGCTTGCGCAAATTTTCCCTACAGACGCTACAGTTTGCTTGTACAAAAAGATTGTTCATGCATGCATGCTTATCAAACTTGCAGTAGTGTGTGTAGCCACCTTTAGAGATAAAATACCCAATCATCATACCATACGAAGAGGAGTAAGAGATGCGGTGATATCACTGAACTGGGCAGGATATGTGGCTAGGATAACAGATGGACGGTGGGCAAAGAGACTTGTGGAATGGAGACCAAAACACGAGGCCTATAGAAGCAGAGGATGACCTCCTAGTCGATGGGCAGAAAAATAGAAAGAAATGGCTAGAGTTAAAGGAGGCTTTTGTTCAGCAGTGGACGGAATGAGCTAAATGATGATGATGATGATAATCATCTGCCACACTCATATCTCTCCCTCGTATCGTTTCATTAATTTTACTTCTGTAACATCTGAGGCAATATCTTGAAGTACCAGCTGATGTACCAGTATTAAAATAGTCTTCGTTGTTATCATTTCCTACAACAACTCCCTGACAACATTTTGGCTTCTATTGGTACTTTGGTACACAAATTCAAAGGAATGAACTACAAATTAACAATTATTGACAATTATTGACAAGGATTACTGGTTTTTAAGATTAACACGACTAAACAAAATCTCACAAATTCTTGTATTTTTACAGTATTTTTTCATAGTCAAAAGAGAATATTGTTCCTACCTTTTAGTTAATCGTGTGTTATTACTACAAAACATAGTACCAAAGGTTTCATTACTGTTAATCTCTCCACAGAATCAATCCGATGTCTCTTACTGTTTTAAAGTTCTAAAAATTGCACCAATCGTTCATAAAATGATTTCTACATACTAAGATGACTTGTATTTTTTGTTGTATCATTGAAATTACATACACACATACTTTTAGATAAAGTTATACAAAAAACATCCAGGGTCCTGACAAGCACATTATTATTATTTAATTCAATTAAAATCAGTTGTATAACTATGCTGTCTGTCCCACTTTCGCTGTTTTGATCTGTCATGTTTTTCGATACCAAACCAGAGACGTGCTAAGGAAACTTTTCGGGGTTTCTTCTAGATTAAAATGATTTTTTACTAGTGATGGGCAAATGCAAGGCAAAGACCAAGAATCTCTTAGTCGTGAGCTTGGTTTTGGCTTTGCTGCAAGACTCTTGCTGCAGACTCTTGCGCTAGTCTTGTTTGACATTTTTTATTTTTCAGTATACTGGGTGTGTCTCAAAAATGGCTCACCCCTATAACTTTTTTATTTTTTTTTCAGATAAAAAAAACGAGATTTGGTATGTTACTATATGAGATTAGTATTGATTGACGTATTCAACCATTTTTTGTCACTTTCTCTTTTACCGGAAATCACTATAACTTTTGATTTTTAAATGGCACTCTCGGTATATTTTTACTTTATTCGATAGGAAATGACACTCTGAATAAAATGACATATCATACGTCAACTTTTGACATTTTTGCATAGAGTTAATTTGAAATTATAACATGCGGTTCATAACGACAATTTAACTGAAAATACCAAGTGTGTGGTACCAAATTATTCGTAAAAAACGCTTTTTCCAAATATCCTAATGAGCCACCCTCGTTCCATTTGAAAAAATTCACATATGATTAAAAATACGATTTGGACATCAATTTGAAATCATCATTTGAAAAAATTCAGATATGATCAAAAAAACGATTTGGGCATTTTCCAATAATGCTAATGAGCCACCCTTGTCCCTTTTGAAAAAACGAGATATGATTAAAAATATGATTTGGGAATCTTTTAACCCGCCAGGACAAGACACGAAAAATATTAGATGATCAAATCTATTTTTTCAAAGCTCCAAGATCAAAAACTAGTGTTTGTAACAGAGCCATGGCACTCTAGATTGATATTTAAAATGCCAAGAGTTTGATTTCTCTATTCAGAGGGTCATTTTCCATCGAATAAAGTAAAAATATACCGAGGGTGCCATTAAAAAAAATCAAAAGTTGTAGTCAATAATGTGTTCTTTTTTTATAAATTGGATTAGGATCGAAAGAAATCAACAGAAGTCTTTTGTTTTAAATTTGTCGACGTTTCGCAAAATTTATTTGCATCTTCAGGACAATTTAAATCTGGACTTTCTTAGTCATATCCATTAATACACGGATGGTATAGAGGGGAGTGGTATATATTTTTTTTTTTAGTTTTTAGCAAAACGATAATATTACTAGCCCATTTGTATGCAAAAAGAAAACTATTTAAATCTTTATAAAAGAGTATACCATTAATTAAATATAACATAAATTATTTCCGCCCATATACTAATTAATTACATACTTAATTGTGTTCGTTAATAAATTATTATAAATAAATGTGGATTTGAGTCAGAAATCAATATAATAATAAGTTATCAAATTAAAGTCTCTGTTGTTATAAATAAGCATTTATTAAAAAATGAAATATCATTTTTAAGGTGTTACTTTTTATCACACTGTCTAATGCCCATACAAAATTCAGTTTTTTAGTATTTGGAGCAATTATTATTAATCAACGCAAACAGTCAGTTAATGTAGTTTGAATATTGGAATCATATTAATTGGTCCTCTTTAACCAATATTTAAACAGTTTTTTTTTATTTTTTAATGAAATAAACGAATTATATCGACAATATTAGTATCTGTACTCTTTAAAAATTTCGTACATCTTTAAAAATAATCTAAAATGTCAATAGTCCATGGGTATATTGATAAATAAATTCTAAATTACAAGAAAATGCATTTTCTACGGAAACTTAAAGAGATAGGTAAAAATGGTATAATACAATTTGATAGACAATTAAATTGTGCATCTGATTCTCGTAAAGTATACAGGGTGTTCCATTTAAATTAAAGAAGTTATTGCCGTTTGAAGCTAATAATTATTTAAAATAAATTTTTAGACACTCTGTATAAGGTAGTATTATTTTTATTATTGCAACACAATAACTGATCAGTAAATAAACTACAGTAAATATTTAGTATTAAAAACTTTGATACCCTTGGAGAAATGAAGCCTTAAAATTTTTACTGCAATTTCAAAAAATTAAAAATATTTCAAAAACGGTAAGGTTTAAGTATACTAAATCGTAATCAAATTTACCTTTATTTTAATCGTAGAAACTAAAAATGTAATAATGTAATAATTCCATAGTGTTCCATTTAAAAAAATACAACTTTGATATTTTTTACTTATTTGGGACATTCTGTATCTTGTAAAATTATTTTTAAATTGTAGTTCTAATAGTCCTTCAACGAACCCAAAACTTACAATTTGTAAAAATCTCATCGTTTAGCTACAATACTCCGTGTCGTATGTGGTGAACAACCCTGTATAACATATTTATTGATTGACCCGAAAGTATTCAATTTCGGGTTATTTTTTTAAACAAAACTAATATATTTTTTTCTTTTTTCTCCTTGCAGAAAGTCCCATAGACCAGAGGTTCAGAAAAACCAACAAGTTCCGATTGAAATTCGAGCCAAACATCCCCGAGATCGAAGTTTTCAAACACGCAGAACTATCCCTAAGGCGAAACGCCATCAAGAACAACACGAAAAAGAACGCCGTATCAAAACAACACTCTGCGTACGTCAGGATACTGGTCGAAGACATAATCAAGCCTGGAATAAAAGGCAAACATGGCCCGATAAAAAGACTTATCGAAAGTAAACAAATCGACATCAGATGCAACGGCAGTCTTAAGCTTGACTTAACTGAAGCAGTTGAAAGATGGTTGGATAATCCCTCTGAAAACCATGGAGTTATTGTCACTATCCTCGGCGCAGCAAGTCACGCAAAGAACCATGTGAGGTTGAAGCGGGATTTAAATGAACCAAAAGACGATTGGGCAAGGATTCAGCCAGTTTTATACACATTCACAGACGACAAAAAGAACACAGAAGCTAACATAAAAAATCTGAAAAAACGAAGAACGAAGAGAGCTTCAAGAAAACACCTGAGAAGAAAAAGCGAGAACGTGCAGTGCAGTCGACACAAGATGTACGTCAACTTTGGAGACGTAGGTTGGAGTGACTGGATAGTGGCTCCCCCAGGGTACGACGCGTACTATTGTTCGGGTGAGTGCAAGTTCCCCCTTGCCGATCACCTGAACACGACGAATCACGCCATTGTGCAGCTGTTGACGAATTCCGTGAATCCGGCCAAGGTGCCGAAGCCTTGTTGTGTACCCACGCAGCTGAATGCGATATCGATGTTGTATTTGGATGATGACAAGAAGGTGGTGTTGAAGAACTACAAGGAGATGGTCGTTACAGGTTGCGGATGCCGGTAGTTGAGTTAAAGTGAAAGGGAAGGGAGTGACGTTTGGGTGGGTGAAAGAATTTGTGCTCCAAATTTGTGTTTTTTTGTCAGTTATGTTGTTTTTTACTAAAGGTTAGGAACAATATTATATTTCACCTTGAGATTTAAAAACATCGATAAATATTCTTTGATGTATATTTGGTATTTTTTTACTCAATTTTTCAGCAGTTATTTTTTGATTTACCTACATTTTTATGACTCAAGCGTCATTCAGATCGGCAAAATTAGTGGTTTCAATTACACTTTACACTTCTTAGGTTACGATCATTCACAATGTTTAAAAGACACGATTAAAGTTAATAGAATATCCTAGCAAGAGCTTGCATTTGACAGTTGTATCCATAGAGAAAGTTTAATATTAAGCTTATAAAACAATCAAGTTTTGATTTCTCACCACAACTTCTCTTGACGGAAGATAATCAAAGACATAAATTATATTTCTGGCAAATTTTGAAGTATAATTAGTGGAAAAGTTAAATGTTTGATAACTTTTTCTACTAATTGAAAATGTCTACCACTAATTTTGAATTTCTGAATGCTTATACATTAAAATTAAAGGAACAAACTTCTACGCTATTTGAAACCACTAATTTATTCCACTAATTGCGGATTCCACAATTAGTGGATTAAATTAGTGGTTTCAATCCACAATTTATACCACTAAACCACTAATTTATCCCACTAATTGCGTGGTTCCGAATGAAGAACCTCACAATTAGTGGATTAAATTAGTGGTTTCATTCAGTGTAGATGTTTGTCCCACTAATTTCAATATAAGCATTCAGAACGTCAAAATTAGTGGTCGTAATTTTTAATAGAGATAAAATAAGTGATATTTTAATAGAAATAAAAAGTTAGTTATTGTTTTATAAGCAAATGTTTAACTTTGTTCACTAATTATAATTGAAATGTCATTTTAGACTTTGATTATCATCTGTCAAAAGATATGTGGTTAGAAATAAAAAGTTTATTGTGTTATAAGCTAATTATTAGCTTCCTCTATGTATAAAACTGACTACCCCCAAGCCAGGCTAGGATATTCTATCTACTCTAGTTTTATCGAGGTCCTGAATGAAGCTGGACATTTATTAAACTATATCTAAATGAACTAGACCTAGCTCATTATACATCCTTCAGTAAAATAAATATTGAAATTCTTTCTTTTTTTGCTAACATTCAAAATTATATTTTGAAGTTATTTTTGTTATATTTTCAAACTTTTTGTGGCATGAATCTCGTGATATTATCCCGAAATTGATTTATTTAAAGATTCTGATGGGCTGGTAATCATACAGGTACAAACCTGTATGATTCTAATGTAGCTATAAATATGTATGAAGGCCATTACTTCCTAAAAAAAACTGATTTCCTGATTATCAAAACAGGTAGAATCCTGTACGAAAATACAGATATTATCATACAGGTATCATACCTGTATGATACTTCTCATACAGGCATAAACTTGTATGATGATTTTCATACAGGCGAAAACCTGTATGAAGCTGCATATTAGAAGGCATTTGTCCACAGAGCAAATTATTTAAAGTTAAAAAACTAATTAACCTTTATAATAATTAGGTTATCGGTATTTTTTATGTAAATTTCACCGAAAACATGGGATAGGTCTTTTTTTATGACGTTTTGAATAGTAGGTAAATCTAATTGTAATGATTCTGTTTCTCTAAAAAATTGTTACGATTTTTTTATGGAGTTTTTGACAAATTTGGAGCAATTTGACATTAAAAATCTGTCCAAACGTCCTCGAATTTCCGATTTTTTGCCGTCTGTGATCATAATGGACTTGGATTTAACAAAAGTGAAAGGTACTATGTCATAAGGAAAGTAAAACAGCATCTTTTTTACTAATATCTCGCATCTGTGATTGTATTTTTATAATAAAAAAATAAAAAACAAAACGAAAACTATGTTAGGTTAACTTAACTTAGGTTAAGTTAGTATATGTTCAATACCTTCATGGTATTACGTGTCAAACATTTATTACAAAAAAAACTTACAATACATATAAGTAAAATTTTGATGTAATTTCGAAATTTTTGTAATGGATTTTTGAATATTTTTTTATATCGCGTTTAAATGTTTTTTTTGTAACGTCTTCGTGTTAATACTAGTACACACTAGGACTTGGAAGTATAAAATTTTATAGACAAATTATTGTAGAAAGTCTAAGGTTGTTTGGTGTATTTTGTACCGTCATTTCGGACCGCCCTGTGTGTTTACAGAAGAAAATACAGGGCGAGAAAAGTGATAAAAATACTACTTGTCCCATATGTTACCTATAGATATTTTTGTATATATACAGAGGGTCCATATTATTTTTGTATCAGGATTAATATAATTGAAAATGTTGAAAAAATATCTCATGCTATTATTAATTACACAATTATATACATCTTATATAATAGTGAAATGAAATGAGAGTTTTTTTTTTCAATCTTGAGGTACATATGACTGATTGATCTGCAATGAATGAGACCAATCGATTTAACAGTTGCTTTTATTTGTTCTCTAGATTTTTATTTACATTTCAATCCAAGTATTTTCTATACAGGATGAGTCTTAAATAAGTGCAAATATTTTCAGTATTGGTAGATCTCGATAAAAGAAACATATGTTCTCTTTACCGTTTTTCAAATAAGTCCAAAATAACCTAGTTGTTTTATTTTGAAAATTAAAAAAAAAAATATTTTTTGCTTGAATTTTGAGAACCACTGACTGGATCCTTTCTGGATTTTCTTTCTTGTAAATTTAATCTATTGCCTATGTTGCCATATTATGTTTTTAACTGAAAATAAAAAAAAAATGAAAAAATTTTTTTTGCCTAAAAAAACTTATAGACGTGTTTCTGGGGCTGTAATAAATTATCCGTAAATATATCAGCACTTATTTTAGACTCATTCTGTATATTTAGTAGACATACAGATACAGTTATAATTTTTAAAGAAATCTATAAAAAACCTGATACAAAAAAAAATGAGACACCCTGTAACATAAACGAATGTAAAAGCTTACGTTATTCAAAAATTGGTATGTTACCATTACTTTTTGTTTTTTTTTAATATACAGAAAGGAATCGATGAAAGACAATGAAAATTTTGATGACAAATTAGTTGTAGCATTACAAATACAGTGTGATCAAAAAGATTTACGCTTTGTACGATAACAGAAAGATAGTTTCTAGGAAAAATAAACGTAAAACTTTTTGATTTCATGGTATTTAAAAATAATGTAACAATAAAGGTCTGTGCAAATTATCATAAACGTACCGTTTCCGGCACGTAGCGTTTCCGTTCTAGCAACCGGACTGTGATGTAGTGTTTATGCACATATTAATTTCCCTATGTAACGTAGTGATGACGCTTTGGAACAGGATCTGTTACTTTCGAAACAGGTTTGTTTTGGAACTGGCTTGGAACAGGTTTATGTGCTATCCTATACCAGTTCCAGTTCCAACTGTTCCAGCTGTTTCAAAACACCGCAACTTAAATTAAATACTTAAAGAAATAAATTCTTGGAATTCTTTAAATTATGTTATCTACTATATTTGTGATACTAGATTCTTAATAGTGTATTTTTCAAAATTAGATAATTATATATTATATTGCATTTGGCAACATCGCCAGTACGTTTCTTCCTGTATTTTTAAATATTGATTTCCAATCAAATATATCAAATATCGGCAACGCTGCGAAAACCGTCAACCTTGTTTTTTTCACGTCTATGCACTATATTAGTGCACTCGCACTCAATCTCGATAATATAACGCCAAGCGACCGCGTAGCCAAAGCGATATACTACCTCGTTTCTCAACTGAAACTAGTTCTTTTTACTTAACTGTTTCAAGTCCCTAACTGTTCCAAGCGCTAACCTGTTTCAAGCCCTAAACTGTTTCAAGTCCCAACCTGAACGGTGGGACTTGGAACAGTTTGAGACTTGGAACAGTTTGCGACCTGGAACAGTTTAGGGCTTGGAACAGTTAGGAACTTGGAATTGTTTGAAACAGTTAAGTAAAAAGAACTGGTTTGAGTTGATAATCGAGGTCGTATATCGGTTTTGCTAGTCTAGCAATGTCTAGCGGACGCGACCGTTCAGGTATTATCTGTTATCGGGATACAGGGGCGTAAAAAACAAGTGTGGCTGTTGCCGTTATTTAAAATATTTAATTAAAGCTCAACTAAATTCTTATGATAAATTTTAAATTTATAATATCTGTTTTTAAATATTTTATTTTTTTAATGTAAACAGAAACAGAATAGGTTAGGAATATTTTATATTATAAAAAAAATGCTGGCGATGTTGCCAAATGCAATATAATTATCGCATTATAGTTTTTTTTTGAAAAATACAGTGTAAGAACAGTCGCTTATTGTTTTGTATTATAAATATATAAGTAGATATTAAAAAAAAATAAACTCTTCCAAGAATTTACTTTTTAAGTATATCACAAAATTATAAATCTATATTTATTCATTAGTGCTTATACAGGGTGGGTCTTAAATAAGTGCACATATTTTTAGGGGTTGTATATTTCGCATTCGATTCTCATGAGTTTTCTTCAGGAAAACATGTTTTTGAAAAGTTTATGTTTTTCGAAAATTTGATAGTTTTTTTTTATTTTTAGTTAAAAAACATCTTGGTAATATAGCAACATAGATAGTAGATTAAATTTAGGGAAAACAGAAAAATCCCCAGTAGTTCTCATTATTTAAGCAAAAAATATTCTTTTATATAAATTTAATCACAACCGAATCAGAATGACGCAAGTACGGTATTAATTTTCGTTTTGGAACAGCTTGTACCTGTTATTAAAAAATCGCTGTTCCGGCCATGACTAACGTAACGTTTCTACAAAACTTGTTTTATCATCATTTTTTTCGCAGAAAAATATATGATTAATTTAAAAAAAATAAAAATTTCTCAAATTTATAATATAAAAACTCAACATGTTTATTTTTTGTCAATAATGACATGTATTGACTATTTTCATTCTAAATATCTTGAGAACGATTACACGTAGCGATTTTTACCAAGAGACATTTTTTACGTAAAAAATATAGGTACAGACGAAAAGTTATTACTCTTCGAAACAGTTAAAACACATGTAGGTGACGTCCTCTACAAATGGAAGTCATACTGACATCAAAATCAAATTTCTCATGTCAAAAAACTTCCAAACACCAATTTTCATCCAAATATTGCAGTTACTTCAGAAATTATTTAGAAAAAATCGAAATATTAATGAAATTTCTACACCACGTATCTCCGAAACTTA